CCTGTGTGTGTGTGTGTGTGTTTGTGTGTGTGTGTGTGTGTGTGTGTGTGTGTGTGTGTATTTTTGTGTCTATATATGAGTATGTGTGTGTAAGTGTCTATCCCTCTCTTAGTATGTATACACCTAATCGGTATATGAATGTATACATATATGAATTCATGTATGCATTGTGTGTTTCCTACCAACACATGCCTTTCTATTCCCCAGAGAGAGAGAGAGAGAGAGAGAGAGAGAGAGAGAGAGAGAGAGACGGACGGACACTGTCCACTTGAAGACCCCCCACCACATTCCAGGCACCACCCCACCTTCCTTCACTCCCCTCCACGCCCCTCCCGTACCCTCCCCTCCCCCGTACCCTCCACGCCCCTCCCCCGTACCCTCCACGACCCTCCCCCGTACCCTCCACGACCCTCCACACAGGTAATCGACGATATCTAGAGGGATGAAACCCATTATCTTGAGCGGACAATAGAGGGACTTTGTAAACAGTTGCATTGGTGACGTCTTCAAGTAGTAGAGACTGGATGAGATCTTTGGCCAGTGCTTCTACCTCCACTACCAGACGACAATAGTGAAGAGGGAGGGGGGGGCTCTTATAGACGAATTCCGATCTGGGGTGATGAGAATAGGTGGGCCAGTGGTAGGGATGGGGGATAGGGGATAAGGAGGTTTGGCCCGTGGGGATGAATGAGGTAGGTTAAATTGGTCTTGTAGTGTGTTACGGGTATAGTTAAGAGGATCTGTATAGTTAGGGTGTCTTGTGATGAGCTCAGGTGTGTGTGTGTGTGTGTGTGTGCGTGTGTGTGTGTGTGTGTGTGTGTGTGTGTGTGTGTGTGTGCGCGTGCTGATAACTACATAGAAAAAAAGAAAAAACGAAGCTCCCAAACGCTTTCTTGTAATTCACATCTTCAGCCAATATATACAGTGAAGGAGAGTGAGATCAGGTCCCTAGGCACAGCAGGTGTCCACCATACTCAGGTCATAAGGTAGTGACCCAACCCTTTACCTGGTTACAAATCTTCCTAATCACGAAATTATCCCATTTGTACACGCCATTACTCACATTCAGGTTGACAGATTCGGTATGTTTAATGAGACTTGATTCTATAATGTTCCTACCGACGATTTAATTACAAGGTCATATTGAGGAGGCATTATCCCAGTCAATACAATGCTTATTATCTCTCAAATGAATGAACAGAGCATTGGGTTCCTGGCCTGTCCTAGCACTATATTTATGTTGTTTAAGTCTAGTTATAAGATTTTTACCCGTTTTATCTAAGTAGAACAGATTACATTCATTGCAATGAACCTTGTAAATGCAGCCACCTGTATTGTTGGGGGGGGGGGGCGGGTTCTAATTAACATTTGTTTTAGAGTGCATGAGTTACTAAATCTTACATTCACGTTTCAGGGTTTCAGTTGTAGAGGCATTTGAGAGGATTTGTTTTTTAAATCGTAATACTAAGGGATTCTTACTGTCATAGGGAGGTTTAGGATCAGTGCTATGAAAATATTTCTTACTGATGTTAAGGCATTTGTCTATAAAACACCTAGGGTACTTTAAATTCAAACCATTATTATAGATATATTAAAAAATTACTCATCAATGAGCGCCGGACTGCATTATGGTGGGCTGAATGATACTGAATATATGAACACACATTAGTAGGCTTCCTATAAACACTGAACTTAAAGGTGTTACTTACTCCGTGGACCAGACAGTCCTACGTGCTCTACGAATATGCAGTCCTCAATCTTATCATGTAATTCAATCGTCAGTAGGAACATTATAGACTCTAGTACACAAGAACATAAGAATGAAGGAAACTGCAGCGGACCTATTGGCCCATATTAGACAGACCTTTTTACACTCAACCCCTATCGCTGATATATCCATCCGGTGGCCGGTAATAAAGTCACAGGAAAAAAAGTCACAGAAAAAAAGTCACAATTTTGGCTAGGAAAAAAGTCACAAAAAAGTCACAATTTTGGTTAAGAAAGAAAGTCAGGTAATCAAAAAAAATATTCAAGTCAGTCACAGTTTATTTAAGTACCATAAACAATTAAAGTAATAAAACTGAAAATATTTTAATTCAGTTATTAACTGGCAATACATTGACAACACTATTTATATATGATGGCATTACATGTATGTGAAAACAAATCACGTTTTGTTCAATATCTTAAGCACAGTAAGGTAATCAAACAAAATTATTTAAGTCAGTCATTTATTGACAGTACATGACATGTACAGATTGAAAACAGCTTACAGAATATCATGGCATTACATGTATATTCAGTGTTTTTAATGCTGATGATTAAGACGAATATTCCAGCCCGATTATACAAAGAATCTAATGTTTTTGTACTATTTTATAATTTTTAAGCGAAACTCATGAATTTACCATCAGTTCTGCATATTCCTTTACTGAAACTGATTGACATATTAACCTTAAAAAATGTGAGAATTCGATAGTTAACTTTTCTTTTTTTCCTGTGACTTTTTTTCCTGTGACTTTTTTTCCTGTGACTTTTTTTCCTGTGACTTTTTTTACCTGTGACTTTTTTACCTGGATTCATCCATCCAACCTATATTTAAAGCTATCCAGCGTGTCGAATTCATGATGATGTTTGGTAACTTGTTCCATTCATCCGCTACTCTGTTTCCAAACCAATGTTTACCTATCTCACGCCTAAATCTAAATTTGACTAATTTAAAACCATTGCTACGAGTTCGCCCCTGGTTGGATAGTTTGAGTACCTTTGTTATATCACCTTTGTTTAACCCTGACTTCCATTTACACACCTCAATCATATCGCCCCTCACTCTACGTCTCTCGATGGAGTACAAATTAAGATGCCCGGGATTATTCTTGTCATCATTACACATGTCGAATCTGCCAACATGAATTTGAGTAATGACATGTACAGTAAAATTGGATAATTTTGTGATTAAATTTTTTTAACCAGGTAAAAGGTTGGGTCACTACTTAACGACCTAAATGTGTGTGGACATGGACTGTCCCAATAGGGACCTGATCTCACTCTCCTTTACTGTGCAAGTAAATCACTGTAAGTGCACGTGATCCAGGTATAAGCTGATAACCACAAGGAAAGAACTTGGATTCTCTTGCTATTCTGATTTCATAGTCTCTTTGCTTTCCTTACATTTTTCTTAACATTCCTTGATAGTTCATTATACCTATTTCTGAGCTGCTCCTCCCCGGCCGATCAGTTTGACGTCAGTAGTGGGGAAATTTCTTGAATCAATTATAGCAGATAGCATCCGATCGCATCTAGAGAAAAGCAAATTAATCTACGACTCTCAACATGGGTTTACAAAGGGAAAATCTTGTCTAACAAATCTGCTAACGTTTTTTAGGAAAGTCTTCGAGGTAGAAGATAATTACGAAAATTACGATGTTATTTACTTAGACTTTAGCAAAGCATTTGACAGAGTACCGCATCAGAGGCTTCTGAGAAAAATTAAGGCTCATGGTATCGAGGGGAAAGTTTTAAATTGGATAAAATCATGGCTCACCGATAGAACGCAGAGGGTCAGCGTAGATGGTGTTAAATCTGAGTGGGGCCGTGTAACCAGTGGGGTTCCCCAGGGGTCAGTACGAGGCCCACTCTTGTTCATAATCTACATAAACGATCTAGATACTGGGATCAGCAGTGACATAAGCAAGTTTGCGGATGACACCAAAATAGGGCGGCAAATTAATTCAGGGCAGGATGCAAATGCATTACAGGAGGATCTAAATAAACTGCAGGGGTGGTCTGAAAAATGGCAAATGAAATTCAACACCAACAAGTGCAGCGTACTTAATATTGGAAGGACAAATACTTATAATGTATACAGCCTTAACAACATCAACCTAGAGAAGTCGACTTGTGAAAGAGACCTAGGGGTACTTGTAAGCCCGGACCTACGGCCTAGAAAACAGTGCGTTAATGTTCGAAATAAGGCAAACAGAGTATTGGGTTTTATATCTAGAAGTGTAAGTAACAAGGGTGCAGAGGTCTTATTGCAACTATATCTTGCGCTAGTCAGGCCGCACCTCGATTATGCGGTTCAGTTTTGGTGCCCCTATTATAGAATGGATATAAATTCACTAGAGTCGGTGCAGCGAAGAATGACAAAAATGATTCCATATCACGATAGGTTAAAGAAACTAAACTTGCATTCCCTAGAAAGACGAAGAGTGCGGGGAGATATGATAGAAGTATTTAAGTGGGTAAAAGGAATCAATAAAGGGGATATAGATAAAGTTCTTATAATATCCGAGCAGAATAGGACTCGTAGCAACGGATTTAAGTTGGATAAGTTTAGGTTTAGGAGGGAGATAGGAATGAACTGGTTCACAAATAGGGTGGTGGACGAGTGGAACAAGCTTAGCAACTTTGTAGTAAGTGCGGGAACGCTGGAAAGTTTCAAAATGAGGCTGGACAGATTCATGGATGATAGAGAGTGGTAGTAACTCTCGACAGGAGCTGCGAAGCACAGGCCAACCAGCCTATTGCAGACTCCTTATTTTCTTATGTTCTTCTTATGTACATTGGTTTGTATGTATGTATGCATGGTTGTATGTACGTATGTACAGTATGTATGTATGTGCATGAGTGCGTGTGTATGATGAGTGACACAGGTGATACTTAGGTATAATTAACACGATCACCAGGTAATAGAGACGAGGTGGATACATTACCGTGTACTGTTACCTAACATGGCGGCTATCAGTGACACACACACGTTATGTTGTCGTAAAATCGTTTAAAAATCGACTAAATTAAATCTAACCTAATCTAACATAACCCAACCTAATGTATCTATCCTAAATAAACTATATTCTAGGATCGCAATGTTAGGTTAGGTTAGGTTAGCGCCTCCATATTAACAGCTAGCTCGGAGCACAGGCCATCCCCGACGAGCTAAACAACCTTCACAACGACAAAACAATCACAGAGGAAGAAAACTGGAGGCGGGTACTCACTGGGCAGCTTGGGCGGGTGGTAGCGGGTACACTGGAGCCACTCGAACCTGGAGCTGTGGTCGTTGGTGCCCTGGAAGCCATCAGAGGTGTCGTCTTGTGGAGAGAAGTTGTCGTTGCGGTCCTGATCATCATATATGTGGGCGGGGCTTTCCAGCTGACCAAGTGACCCGTCGTGTGTTGCTGGCAGGTCGCTGGTCGTACCTCCGTCAAGATGGTCGTCTCCGCCCCCTAGTAAGTCGGCGATGGTGAAACTGCGACGCATACGTGGGTGGTGTGGGCGTGGAGGTGGCAGCAGGGGCGAGGTGACCCCCAATGCCGTAGGTGAGGTCAGATCACGACCCCTGACGGCCCCGATCACGGTCTCTACTGGGCTCTGGGGAGATGGGGGGAGGGAGAAGACTAATTGTTAGGTAAATACGTTAATTACAGGTGATCAGTAGCACTTATACCTGCACTAATAACTTTTACCTGTAGGTGTTCGTCCCCCAGGTGTGTTTATGATCTTAAATAAACAAATCGTTAGTCTCTTTATCGTTGTATCTCTCTACACTGTACAGGGTGGGGAGGGTCTTACCGGCCGTGGGAGGAGGGTCTTACTTTCTGGACCGTGGGAGGGTGTCTTAATTGGTGGAATATGGTCTTGATTGGTGAGAGGGGTCTTACATGTAGGAGCGTACAATGAATCTTACCTTCTGGAACGTGGGAGGAGGGTCTTACCTGTGGCAACGTGGGAGGGTGTAGCGCCTGGGGGACCCTGGGGAGCGGCGCCCCCTGAGAGGTAGGAACGGTGGCCAACATGGGAGGCAGGTGGAGGTACGCCCCAGCTCCACCTCCGCCCATAGACAATCCTGGAATAACAACAAAAGCTGTGAGACATTATGTGTGTGTGTGTGTGTGTGTGTGTGTGTGTGTGTGTGTGTGTGTGTGTTTCACGGCTTCAGGAAAAGGTCTCGACACAAAGACACAGACATATACCTGACCCCCAGAAGTCACCATCGATCAACACATTGGAACACCTGTCTGGGGGTTAATTTATCACCTTGCCTGTACTACCAGCAGGTGACAGACAGGTGAGTGTTGGGTAATGATTACTTCTTACCTGCCGGGGAGTCGAGTTCTCCCCCCCACCCCCATCTGACCAATTTGCTGACTTTAGCCATGTCTCCTTTTTCTCTCCTAACCTTTCTCCTTCCTTCCCTCCCTCCCTCTTTCCTTCCTTCTCTCCCTCTCTCCCTCTTCCTTCCCTCTTGCGACGAAAGACAAATGGAGGAGGTGGGCAATAAATGGTTAATGTAAGTGGAGAAGTTGGTTTAAGTGAGGGTTGCTGAAGGCAGTAATTCGGTGGAACAGTTTGGTGGAGTTGGAGCCGCCGTCTTCAAGCCATACATTACCCTGAGAGTCTTAGGGGAGTGTAGCGGCGTCGGCGGGAGTATTGTGTAGTGTTGTGAGTTACTGCTTCACCTGTAGGGGGAGAGAGGAGGAGAGGGTGGAGGGGGTCAATGGTAGGGGGTGATGGGGAAGGAGAGGGGAGGGTGAAGGGAGAAATGTGGGGGGGGGGTAGCTATACCTTGTTTATTATTGATGGGATTATTTGTGGTGGTGATGAGATGCAGGTGGTTGTGGTGGTGGTGGTCAATGATTGTAATACAGTAGGTGCTAGGGAGAAGGGAAGATTGAAAGAGTGAGGGAAAGGGGGGAGACAAGAGAGGGAGAGATTAAATGATATGGAGGGAGTAGCCAGAGAGGATACGTCACACCAGCTGTAGCCAAGGAAACTTTACCCCCTTTCGTCCTGTGGTCAAAGCGAACAAGTCTGGCTTACGATACGTTGCCATCTCCTCCGCGTTCCCAAAATCGTGAAATGGTGGGAAGTGGGGGAGATATCTTATTAAACTACTTCACTAACCGGGAAATACACACACACAAAAAATTATAACATTATTTTCTATTAATAGTTTACGTAAATTGAAGTTATTGAGAAATTTGGCAGAGTCATTACAGAATCCGTGCCTGGTCGAGGAGTTCCTGCGCCGGGAGGGAGGTGTAGTGTGTGTAGGGAAGAGTGGGCGGGGAGAGATGGGAGGAGAGAGAGAGAGAGAGAGAGAGAGAGAGAGAGAGAGAGAGAGAGAGAGAGAGAGAGAGAGACGTTAAGCTTGGGAATGAAGTGAGAAGAGATTGGGAAAGATAGGATCATAGGGAGAGAGAGAGAGAGATGAGGGAAGAGATAATAAAAATCACAAGAAAGTAACACAGAACAGATCAATGGTTAGTACACTGATGATAACTGGTAAACTGATAGATATAAACAATAACTAGAGAGATACTGAGAGATCATAACATGTGCTGAGGAGGAGGGACGAGGGGGTGGCATGATAACAACTGAGAAAATGCCGTCCAAAGACCAGTGTCATTTACTCATTATTGCATAAAGAGAAAAGTTTTTGTGTGATAGTCTACTGCTAAGTGACTTGTCCCCAATTATTCAAATTATCCAGCACTGGCAGTCAATTTCGGGGAGACGAGAGTGGAACTTTTGTCCGGGTTGGGCGACACGGTGGAGGTTTCTGCAGGTGGGTGTTAAACTCAGCCATCAGTCAAGAAGCTCTGGGTAGTGACGCCGTGCTGTGGTTTAGCCTTTGGTGCGTTAATGTTTCATCAGAATGAGAGACTGTGTGATGGCCAGAGACACAGACAGAGAGATTTGAAGAAGAAAAAGGTTATAGGTTTTATATTCGTCAAACTGTCGAACGGTTGAATGCCAAAGCGGACCACAAATCATGTCCTCAACTAAGCGCTGTTTACAATACAAAAGTCAACACTTTTCGGTGTGGATGACCGCAGTTCAGAAGTTCGAATGTCACGCGTGTCTCTCAACACAGATTTAAAGTTCAAACGCCACAGTCTGAAAGGTCAGCCGCTACTAATTCAGTATTTCAACCTGGGGATTGAAAGAAGTGGTGACTTATTTTAGAGAGAGTATTGGCTCGGTCGACAAGGTGGCCAGCCAATAATTCAAACCATTAGTGATGAGAATAAGAAATGATGTTATACTTTCCCATGTTGTTTTTTATATTTTAATTGGTGTGTTTACTTGTTGCTTGTGGACGAGTCTTAAAAGTTCTCTACTACTACCATGGCTTGTTGGTATCTGGTGGACAACTCGAGCGTTCTCTAAATCTTTTTTTTATATTTCAGGAACTTGGTCTACAAGTCACCAATCCGTTTTACTATTCTGAAAGTCTTTTTCCCAGAGTTACAATAAGACACTAGACAATGAACCATCGACTAGTGTCTTCCTTCCTCACACTTGGCTCCCACCTCCATTATATAATTCCGACGGGAATCATATCAACCAGAAACTGCTTTAAAGTCTTATTTTTACATCGACATAATAATCCCTTCATTTATACCCACAATAAACACAACAGAACCAAATAGACAAGAGAGTTAATACGTTATCAGTTTAGAATAATCGTTTTTCCAATTTATGTATCGTGTCTTGAGACTTGGTAATTGTTAGTTCTGGATGTGTTGGTGCCTTATCCCACTGAATTATCGAAATGTAACAAAAGTAACTGAACGAGAATAGAGAAACAGTCGGTAGATTATTTAACGAATTCTCTGAAGATGAAAGCCGTAAGTTTAAATTGTAAAGTGTTTTATTCTTGAAAGAGCTCAAAGAAAACACGTACGTTACAGCTTGTCTGATGGGAAATTTAAAAGCCGAAAATATTCACACAAAACCGGCTTCCTATTTTTCATACTTAAGTATATATTCCTTTATTTCCATATTATTACTGTATTAATTTCAATAAGTATATCAACCTTATAGATCGACCCTCTATGGTATTAGTATATAACTCAGAAGGTGTCATAATTTCAGTGGTATCTGGGTCTCGGGTCTCGTGTAATGTAAATAAATCATCTTTCACAGAGATGCATCATCACTGTCTTAACTTGATGATGGCGACACTATCTCAGAGGTATTCAGAACGTGAGAATAATTAGCACACACACACACACAATGAATCAGTTTTTCTCATTTTCTTTATTGTTAATGTTAAGTAATTCTCTAGTTGTTGTGTTTAATCTCAGTTTAGGAGGGAGATAGGAAGGAACTGGTTCACAAATAGGGTGGTGGACGAGTGGAACAAGCTTAGCAACTTTGTAGTAAGTGCTGGAACGCTGGAAAATTTCAAAAGGAGGCTGGACAGATTCATGGATGATAGAGAGTGGTAGTAACTCTCGACAGGAGCTGCCAGGCACAGGCCAACCGGCCTATTGCAGACTCCTTATTTTCTTATGTATTCTGTTTATTTTTGTTTCAGTGGATTTTTTTGTATTTTCCTGTAGTTTCGTATTCCAAAGGCTTTTAAAATTCCTTCTGGTGTCATCTAAGTTTCCATATTTCTGCTTATCCACCACACGACTCTACCACCACAATCACAACCACCACACGACTCTACCACCACAATCACATCCACCACACGACTCTACCACCACAATCACATCCACCACACGACTCTACCACCACAATCACATCCACCACACGACTCTATATCACAATCACATCCACCACACGACTCTACCACCACCACAATCACATCCACCACACGACTCTACCACCACAATCACATCCACCACACGACTCTATATCACAATCACATCCACCACACGATTCTACCACAATTACATCCTCCACAAGACGCTAAAACCCAACACTATACTATTACCACAGCTCAAAAAACTTACCGTCAAAACCTCCTTGGTCAAAACCCAGCCAAAACCAACGTACATACCTGGCAGGTGAGTAGTCAAATGAATCAGATTACATCGTCTCCTGTAATCCAGCTAATCTTACTGGTCTCCCACTATGTGTTTATTGGAATTATGTAACGTCATTGATTATCTCCCTGTACCCTCCCTCCTGTACCCTCCCTCCTGTGCCCTCCTCCTCCCCCCAAAAAAATTAATATTAAATAAACTTGTAAATTTTTGGAGGAATAAATGGTGGTAGTGACGTGAGTTTGTGATAGGAGAAAATGCCAGGAGTATTGACCACCATTTTACCATGAAGTCAGACAGAAAATTACTCGCTGAAAAGACCATTCGCTCATAGCTTTTACTGTCTTGGTTAATATTTAATGTGTGTGTGTGTGTGTGTGTGTGTGTTTTAGGAGGGTGTATGTTTACGTATATAAACGTACATATACCGCCATTGCGAAGTCAAATAAAAGCACTTTCAGCCAGGGTCGTCACACACACAACCAAAACATCAAACACGACACTACTTAATTCCGTACGATAAAATAAAGCTGTAGAAATATATACCACACTGAAACACATCTGAAAACTAATCTCTTTATAATTCACGAGACATTTTAGTTACAGCACGAAACTTTTGTGAGTGAATAAAAACGGGCAATGTTTAACGTTGGAGGAGAGATGGGATGAATGTTGGAGAGGAGAGAGAGAGAGAGAGAGAGAGAGAGAGAGAGAGAGAGAGTCTGCAGCCCAACAAATATATTTTAGTCTTTCAGCTTCAACATTTAATCAACAGTACACCAGACTACTGTTGACATTTAACAGTTACATCTGTCTACCACACACACACACACACACCCTATTGTTAAAATAATACGTAGCTGCTGATTTATGTACTGTACAACCCTGTAAATGTATTGAACGTATAATTATTATGTCTAAATCACATGTAAGTTGTATATTTTCAACCACCGGCTGTAACTCTATTAATAAACCGTATATTATTATTATTATTACACACGCACTCACATGAAGGTACCAGAACACATAGTATCCTCATCCTAACGCGGTATAAATTATCCAG